GTTATCTTAAAAGTAGGTTCTATTCTCGTACGGGAGATATATATACAGAGGGGACCCAGAAGCTCGCGTCCGCACCACAAGGACTCTGTCTTCACTCTCTATATGTATTACTGCGCGCTGCATGTACAGATGCCAGCATTCACAAGCTGAATACATAAAGTATAAATATGATAATTTATATAAATAATATGGTGCACAATAAATGGGAATATTACATAGAATTAATATATGTTCTGTAATACTTTACTATACATAATTAATGGAGTAATATAATAATACACAGCTTAAGGTACTACTTCGTGTACATATCATACAAAAACAACAAAATTGGAGAAAATAGCAAAAATCACGGAGTAATCGACAGAAACCGCGCGAGTCAACTGATCACATGATATAAACAGAGCGCTGGTGTAAACTGTTATTAGTCCTCACTGCGAAGCATTTTTTCACTTATTCTTTTCATACAGTATTTATGGGTAACAGCTAAATTTGCAAAAAAAAAAGAACAAAATTTACAGAGTACCTCTCAAAAAACACTTCACAAACAAAAGACACAAATCAATTAAACATGTGATGTCGAGCGTGAACTGTAAACATTGCATAACCCCGGCCACGCTTAAAACGTTGAGGGTGGAATTAAAACATTGAGAATGGAATCAAAACATTGAGAATGGAATCAAAACATTCAGGATGGAATCAAAACATTGAGAATGGAATCTCACCTTGTAGCAGAAATGATTGTATCTGGTATGAGGGCTGTGACATCATTCAAGATGGTGGCCAACATTCAGCTTGCTGGATCTCGCGTTCAGCTGGCTGGATCTTGTGTTGAACTGGCTGGATCTTGCGAAACTCTCGATATTTTATGCCAAATATAAGACTTGGTTACATTGGGTAGTGCTCGCGAAACGAAATTGTGCGAAATATGAGATCTTACTGTATGTGAAAAAGCCAGGATGGTTTAGTAAATTGCCAGTTACTAAACCATCCTGGCTTTTTGCTCTTGCTGGCATCCACTCATTACCCACACACCAACCTGACAACAGTTGAAAATATCTTAGCCGCTCGGCTCCCCAGCAAAAAGGATGAAATATGACACAAGTTTCAAGCTGAAAACTGTTGCGTTTGCAAACTCTTCAAACAACAGTGCTGCAGCGAGGAATTAAGGAGTAAATGAAAAGATGGTGCATGATTGGAAGAAAAGTGAAGCCTCCCTGAAGAAGATACCCAAGAAAAATGTGCAATAAGGATCGGCATTTGTCATTGGCATGAACTGGAAAATTATTTAGAAGGTTGGGTCAACGAAAACCGTCAAGATGGCTATACAGTAACCCGAACTGACATACGCACCCATGCACTTAAGTGGGCCAAAACACACCCAGATGAAAGCAAAAATTTCAAAGCAACTGCGAACTGGTGTAGTCGCTTCATGAAGAGGAAAAATTTAATTTTGCAGCGGAAAACTAAAATTGCACAGAAACTCCCATCTGACCTCGAAGACAAAATTATAAATTTCCATAGATAAGTCATTGAACTGAGGAAGGAACACAACTACCCACAGTGTCAGACTGGTAATATAGATGAAACACCTTGTTTTTTCGATATGCTTAGCAATAAAACTGTTGACACCAAAGGCAAAAAACTATTTGATAAATAGTGCAGGTCGCGAAAAGACGAAGTTCACTGTCGTATTAACCTCCCTTGCAGATGGAACTAAATTAAAACCAATGGTTATATTTAAAAGAAAAACAATGCCAAATATAAAGTTCCCTACAGGTGTTTTGGTCCATGTCCATGAGAAGGGGTGGATGGATGAAGCTGGAGTACATTTATGGATTGACAATGTGTGGAGTAGGTGGCCTGGTGGATTACGCAAGGAAAGGAGCTCGTTGGTTTGGGACATGTTCAGAGCCCATTTGACAGATAAGGTCAAGAAGCATCGACAACAAAACAACATTGTAACTGCAGTAATATCAGGGGGGTTAACGTCTGTACTTCAACCTCTTGATGTAAGCCTAAATAAGACATTAAAGGACAATATTCGTTCTGAGTGGAATAAATGGATGGTTGAGGGAGAAAAGTCATTCACGAAGGGGGATAATATGCGTGCTCCACCACTGGATGTATTGTGCGATTTTGTAATAAAGTCTTGGGAAGCCGTTCGCGTAGAAACTGTCGTAAAATCTTTAAAAAAACGGGGATTTAAAATGCAATGGATGGGGAAGAAGATGATTTGTTGTGGCGAGACAGTGACGAGGAGGAGGATGACAGCAAAAATAATGAAGACGAAGTCGGAAGTTCCAGTCATTCGGACCCATATGCAGACCTCTTTATTTTGGACGATGAACAGCCGCTGACTTTGAAGGATTTTAAAATGTGATCATACATGCTTTTATTGTCAATAAAATATAACTTTGAAGTAAAATAAATCTTGAAGTTAAAGTTTTAACTTTTTATCTTAAGAGTTAAGGTTATAATTACGGTGTTATTGTGTGTACAGGTATATTCAATAAACTGCCATTATGTATCATTAAACTGTCATTACCCCTGTAGTGTATGTGAACTCACAATCTATAGCGCTATCATAAAATTGCGCAGATGGCATCCATATTGTAGTACCGGGTAGTTGTCTGGCTGGCCTCCTGGGTTTAGTGGCGTACTGATTGATTGTTTACTGTCCATCAGCTGTTGAAAATGGCGTGTAGTGTTGTATTCGCTTAATTATACTGGAATTTACTATTTTATTATAATCTCTATGTTAAATAAGTTTACCAAACATAAATTTCAGTAGGAAATATTAGCGGCAGGTCACGAGAGTTACGCTAAGTGATGCACAGCGAGTGTTAGGCAGGCTGTTCCACTTGTTTACCACTACAGTATGTGGTACAGCTTCACATTTTATACTTGGAGTTTAAGTCCTGGTTTTGGAGAGATATTTTCAAGCTTAAAACGTCGACATACGCCACAATTTACTGTAATTACCCTGGAATTGAATCGTGGACTATAGATTTGGAATCAGCATGCTTAGGAGTACCTATACTTTTCTGCGATTTTCAACGAAAACTAATTTTGGGTCGAAACTGCCTAATTTAAGCCTTTGTTCTAATGATGATATGTTGATGACATTTTTAATTTTCAGAGAGAGAGAGAGAATGTGCCTCTAGGATGTTTTGTTGTAGTTCTTCATATGCCAAGATTAACATTGGCATTATTCTGGTGGGTGTGTCTTATAAGTAAGAAAACTGCTGTAACTGTATGAAAAATCAGCATATTCACAGACTGCTTCACTCATCTTCTGTTAAATGCCAAGAAACATTAACATATTACAGTGAGTTCTGCTATAACGCGTGTTTTGATAACGCGAATTTGCTCTAACGCGATTTATGAATTAGGAACGATATTTGTATAACGCGAATGCTTGTTTGCTGTAACGCGATTTTTGCTTACTATTTCTCCAATTTTGTGGTATTAACTGTGAATATGGTAAAGAAGAATATCTCCAAGAAGCGTTCTGGTGATAGAATTCCCGGTGATGATCGTAAAAGAAAGGATATAACACTTGAAGAGAAGCTCGATGTTATCAACCTCAAAATCACCATTCTCCCCCATCAAGTTATATTCATATTTTTTCAAGGTAAAGTGTTACATTTACTGTATGATTTCATTATTAGATATGAATGTAACATTTATTTAGACTGTGCTATCCTTTGTGTTAGGCTAACTACTAAATTTTTTCGATTTCGAGTAATCTGCACCTAACCCTATTTTCTCCATAAGCCCTGTTATTTCTATTACGCGATTTTCTATAACACGATATTTTACAAGAACACAATTATCGCGTTATAGCAGAACTACCAGTACTTTAAATTTTTTATGATGGACTTGTTTCATGAATGGGAAAAAAGACTGCAGTCGACCCTCGTTAAAACGGACTAATAGGAAGGTGTCCGTTTTAGCCGATTGTCCGAATTAACCGATTTAGGAGTTAATATTGCATTATACAACTATGTGTATGTTTATTTGAGTGCCCCGTCATAGGAGTCCGTTTTCTCTCACTTCAGGACGCCTGAGTCGTCCGTTTTCTCTTAATCTTAGAGTGCACCAGGGACTTTGTTATTTCTTAGTAGTGACACAGAATTTGAAATTGCAACCCCAATTGCAACTGGGACAATCCCAGAACCAGAAATTTTATATGGACAGTTCAGATTTCGTACGATTTATCCGAAATCCGGATTAAAGGGGTCCGAATTAACGAGGGTCGACTGTGATTGTAAACTGAAAATAACGTAAGGTGGATGTAACGATAAACTGTTTCACTGTCCATGCTAATACAATATTAACATTACTTTTGGGTTAGGTAGGATATACATTTTGTAGGGTAGGCCTGCATAAAAATACCTGTACCTTAATCATAATGCAGCCCATGACTGAGGAAAGGTTGCCCATGCTTGGTGCAAATGACTAGTAAGCTGATTAGTGGCAGAAATGATAAATTGGAAAAGCTGAAAGAAATTAACAAAAGAAAGGTTAGGATAAAAAGTAAAATATAAATGGTGAGATTGGAATACATATTAGGAATGCATCACCTCTTATTCAATTAATTCTTATGGGAAAATTGACTTTGATTTCCCCACTTTGATTTATGTCATTTGGATAACTCACAATTTTCAGGTACCTGTACACTTCCCCAACATTAACTGGGGTAATTCTTTTCTTCCCAGAATTTGAATGAGATAAATTTACTTATTGCATATGGAGCTTGTAGACATTTGTTTTTTTATGAATATTGAACCATATTGTGTATTTTTAGCATGCTGTACAGTATTTATGAATTAAACCCCTATTTGTCCAAACTTTCATTATTTAATATTGACCTTTTAACAGTGAGGAAAATGCTGTTCTACTGAAATTAAATAAAACATAATTTTCCTTAGTAACTGTAAAGGAAAACACTAAATTATAGGACTTTAGTAAAATCATCCAATTTGTGTAATCTTCAGGAGAAACTACAGTTCTATCACGTACGTGAACGGCACGGAGCATCACTCAAAGTGGAGGGACTCGAGGATACAAACCAAGAAGATGGGTTAGGTAGATTACCGCCTTACCTCTCCTCTGTCTCATCACTGCTGCTCTTCAATACAACTCACAATCCGTAAGTTGACTTGGATATATTATACTGTAGCTGTTATGAAAAAAAAATATGTACTGTACAGGTATACATACAACTTTTATTGCAATATATTAATTACACAGGCACTGAATAATAGAAAGAAGAATATTACAAAGTCAAAAGACATTACAACCTAGAACTATCATAGACATTGGCACAACAATCACACATTACTAAAATTGCCATAATACAAAACAACAAACGTGAGGTCACTGAGCTGGTCACTGTTAATTATATCCCTTCTTCGTCATTTCACATGCTCATTGCTCGTCAAGAGGGTAACGCTTTGCTCTTATGTTTGTTATTTACATTCCACGTAATCATTGTTTGGACTACTTTATAATTACCATTGCTGAGTAGTAAGTCAGCATGTAGTTCATTAATGTACGGTGAACCCTCGCTTTACCCGGTCAATTGAACCCACGGAGGCCCGCATAAAGCGAGAAACGCGTAAAGTGAACAACATATGGGATTAATTGAAATAGAGAACGGGCCGACCCCCAAACTCCACTTTTTCCCGACACAATACGTACATTTTAGTAAAAATAACATCTTAACTTTATGATGGTGTATGCACACACACATAATATAGAAGAGAACAATCAATAAGAGAATAATATACTGTAGGTTAGGTTAGAAAAAATCAAGGTTAGGCTTAACACTTACATTAGTAGAAGAAATGGGTTGGCGTACGGGAATGGAGGCTGGTTCCGAGGCAGAGGGCAGGCTACTGGCCCTCAGGTGAGTCATCATCACTGTCATACTCATTTATCAGTGACTCACTGATAAATCCCTCAAAGTCACCATCACTGTCTCTGTCACTATCACTGGCTTGGGCTGGCTGTGACGGGTTGCGGGCGAAGAACTCGGTAATGCTTTGTTGACGGCTAGTGTTGATGTTGTCGTGATACACCTTGATGTAGGGCTCCATAGTCTGCAACAGCTGGGTAGTGAAGACTTCATACTGGTTATCGTCAGGGTCATCGGAAAGGATGAGCTTCAGTTTCTCTACACACTCAATGGCACCCCTAACATTACCATGCGATAACTTGCATTCTTCTTGGGATGACGCACCACCTGCCTCTTCACTGACATCATCATCATCTAACATCTCGTCGGCAATCACATCAGGATCCCTTAACACCTCCATAATGTTGTCGTTGGTGGTCTCGGAGAAGCCTTTAGCTGTAACACTCTGCGCAGCTTCTCTGGCAAGGTCCACTGCTACTGCAACAGTCTGAACCTCACCAGGCACAGATTGACTCTGTCTCCCACCTGGAATACCTTGCAACACATGTCTCCATGCGTGACGAACCTTTGCTACAGACAGCTGATCCCATGCCTCCACCAAGAAGTCCACAGCTTTCTTGACCTTGAATTTTTTCCAAAAGTGTTTCACAAATACTTCTTGCTCTGCCAACTGTTGTTCCTTGTCCTCTTCGCTCTTGCTATCGGTGTCACCCAGGTTACGTAACTCATCCTTGGTGTTGGTATAGTCGTTCAGGAGCTTAAACTTCTTTGCAGAGAATGCAGCTTTCACATTGCAGATTAATTCTTGGTCCATGGGCTGGATTAATGGCGTAGTGTTGGGAGGAAGGAAGACCACTTTTACGTTGGGGTGACGATCCAACAGTAGGGGCGAGTGTCCTGGTGCGTTGTCAAGCAGCAACAAAATCTTGAATGGAACAGTCTGTTGCTCACAGAATTTCTTGACGTCGGGAACGAAACAGTCATCAAACCAGGAGAGGGACAGTGTAGAGAACATCCATGCCTTACGTGCGGTCAGCCAGTGGACATTTAGCTTGGTCATGTCCATGCTCTTGTAGGCGTGCGGCTTGTGTGCTGTGTGGATCACCGATAACTTGAGCTTACTGGTACCGGAGGCATTGTTGGTAAACAGGACGGTGATGTGCTCCTTCTGCAACTTCCGGCCCCGACACTTGCTGGCAGTCTTGACAACGAAGATCTTGGAAGGTAGCTTTTTCCAAAAAAGACCAGATTCGTCCATGTTAAACACCTGGTCTTCGGTGTACTGTCCTTCCTCCATAATCTCACGTAAAAACGGAGGAAAATCCCTAGCCGCAACACGGTCAGCACTCACTTCTTCACCACCAATGTTAATGTTGGTGATCTTGTTTAACCTCTGCAACCACCCAGAGGAAGCATTGAAGGGTTTGGGCTCTGCAATTCCCATCTTACGTGACACTGTAGCATACAGTTCACGTGCGTACTCCTTAACTGAGCGCGTGTCCACCGCTATGTTCCGTCTTGCCTGACGAATCAAGTAGCTCACAAGTAATTTCTCCGTCTTGAGACGCACCTGGTTGTGGCAATACTTGATCATAGAAGCACCTGTAGACTTTGTGATGTTCATGTGTTCTTTTATCTTGGCTGCATTTTTCTTGATTGTCCGGATCGCAGATTCGTTAATACCATGCTGGCGCGCGAGACCAACCTGTCTTGTTCCTGTCTCCAACTCTTGGATGATCTTGTATTTAATTTTGTAGCTTAGGGCACGTTGTATCTTCTTTGGCCTAGGGCGGCTGGGTCCAGGTAATGTAAGGTTTCTTTGTGGTGGTGGTGATGGTCCGATGGAAGCCATTCTTATGGAACAATAGATACCGATATACACGGTGTAGCCGGGAGGGGTGTAACTGATGCGGGTTGGTCAACGGGCTTGAACGCTCCCTCGGCGGGGCACCTCATATTACATTAAACCAATCACAGCTAGCGGGGGAGGGAGGTAAGGATGCTTGGCCCAATCACAGTCCGATACGTCATATGACGTCACTGATAACGCAACAAAGACATAAACTGCGCCACCTACTTGCGCCGCTTACCCAACATGGCGGGATGGCAGGAGAGACGGCGGGAGGTTTGAATCCAAAAATGGCGCGGCGCGAGATGACCGCCAGCCGCTGTCCGTGTAAGAAATACCGCGCGTGGTGAGCATCGTTGACGGGGTACCGCGTAAACTGCGTAAAAAAGCTGCGTAGCGGTGTACTGTATTCAGGTAAATGAATAAATGTTCTAGTATTATATTATAGGATTAATACATTAGAGTATATTAATTTTGTCATCTTTATTGTTTTTCTTCAGTTATTTCACTTTACTCCACTAAGCACATGATCCGTTTCCACTCACTAGACTGCTCTTCTTCTATTCTTGTCAGGATTTCTTGTAGTTTATCTTTCTCAGTCTTTCAGTCCTTTTATTTTCATATGTTCATTGCTCTTCTGTGTGAAAACTTGCCAAGAATATTCTGTATACTTCACATCACTTGAAAATTTTAAGAAAAAATTAATGTATTGGTATGTTAATCTGACTTTTTATCTTTTCTTTTAAGAGTTATGTTGTAAAAGCTGATATTACACAAGACTACTTCAGTTTTAAAGTGAGAGTGAGTTGTTTGTCTCACTGGCAAAGGAAATGAACTCTAGAAATTTAACACTTAAAAGTTGATTGGGAGTTGTGGAGGTGTGGGTTCATTGTGTTACAAGGTAATATATGTACGAGTTAGTTAAAAAAGTGAATGGTTGACTTGTAATTACAATATATTTTTCTTTCATACAAGTTTATTGAGGTACGCATTCCCTGTTTCATAATTTCATCATTTTTATTTAGGTTCTTTATGAGACATTAAGCACTATTTAGCCTTATGTGGATATGGCCAGACTAAGGATGATAAGTAGGTAGGTACACAATACACGAGATGTTGATTACTGGGTATGGAAATGTAAGTAGGATGATTGTTTTTCAGACTTTATACAACTCATTACTGGGTAAGTCTGTTGATTGAATCAGGTAAATCCTCAGCTACAGTGATTGTAAGTACAGTAATTCATTGATTAGTCACACCATCCATCACACTAATGTTTGTTAGGAGAGAATCTCAAGACAAAAATTCCCAACTGAGGTTAGAGGCAGTAGGTTGTGTTATCACAGTCGCCTTTGTACACTGTCCTCAATATCTGGCTTGATTAGAGGCTGTTATTTCAGGGTTGCCTGAGCCGGATTAGGTGACTTATTTACTCTCCTCATTAGGCAATGTTAATATGGGTTTGGGTGGAGGATTGACTCTGAAATTTTGGCTTAAAGTTTAACTGGGTGAAGTGTATGATACATATGGGCTTTGTAACATAATAACTTTTTGCTTTTAATCTCTTATAAACATGAGTGTGATGGGAAGGTATGACTAATGAGTTCACGCCACCAGACATGGTACTGAAGCTGAATTTGGTTCCAGGAAGCCATTTTTTACACAGACACACTGACCAATGTCCATATTGTAACATCACATTTGAGCTGATCCCTGATTTTCTGTTTACACAATGACCTGACCTGGTAGGAAAGCCCAGATGCATGCTACAGCCTCAGTGACATCACAGCTGATCCCTCCTATTTCATTTGGTCAGTTCTCACAATGACCTGACCTGAACCTTAGACAAGTGCCAACTCTCCCTACCTGCCTCTCCACCCCCAGGTGCTGTTGGTTGACTGACAACACATTTGAAAATCTTAATATAATTTATTAAAATGCTTCTCTGTAACTGTAAATTCTTGCTTATATATCATTATGTATATTTAGTAGATTTTTTTGCATTACTGATTTGTTTTGAGTAATGAATAAAATAAATGAAGGAATTAAATGATGATAAAACATGAATAAAATAAAGTAAAACAATGAAGAAAATAAAATCTATAAAGATATATACAGCTCCTCCCCAATTTACGACCTACTCGACTTACGTCCACCCGCACTTACGACCTGCCTCAGTCGTATCAAAATTTGGTCAACTTACGTATTTTCGAGTCCCAAAGTCGGTACACAGACAAAATTTTCATCTGTAATTCACTTTAAAATGGCTGGCAAGCTTAAAAGTTAGTGTTTTGTGGTGGTGAGAAGAAAAAGAGACATCCATTTTAGATTTTCTATGTATTATTTAAGCATTTCTGACTTACGACCATTTCGACTTACGACCTGGATGTCAGTCCCTAACCCCATCGTAAGTCGGGGAGGAGCTGTACTGTACTATATGTAGTTACTATAAGCAACCTCTTACAGTCTATATGGGGAATCAAAACTTACCCCAAGAATACTCAGCTTAAAATAAGTCAACTTATCTCAAAGTCTTTCTGCAACTTAGAATGTATTCCCATCAATATGTAAGGCAGTACAAGTACTGTGTATTATATATATTTTTTTTTTACGGGAATTAGCCCACCCAGGCACAGGTCAAACGACCCACAACGGAGCCTGGGGGGCGAAAAAAAAAAGAGCGGAAAGAAATTGTAAATATAGAAAAAAAAGGTTATACAGGTTGTACCTCTCTAGTCCGGCAACCTCGGGACCTGACTGGTGCCGGACCATGGAAATTCACCCTTTTCCTGGATAGATAGTGACTTGTGCTTATGCCTGGAAGCACTAGCACCACTTTCTCTGCATCATGGTCTCTTTGAAGACATATTGAAGGGTTAAATGTCGTATAGTAGGTTCTCAAATTTCGCGAGTTTTTAATTCTTAACGTATTTTATTGGAACACACAAAAAAATAAATAAATAAAAAATTTGATGGCGGAAACTTGAATTTCGACGGGTTTGAACGGCCCGCCAATGTGCAGACGACGTGCATAATCGTGTAAACAGCGTCATTTCTCTTATGTACAAAAGATTCATTATTGTTATGTCTTGTTGTTTATTACTGAATGTCAATTGAATTAATAATGTAAAATTGGTACAATTCATTAATTGACACGCATGGAAATCATTGTGATTACAAAACCAGTGACTGACTGGTTCTACATATAAAACTGAAGAAAATAAGACCTGGTTGTAGCTGTAGTAAAATTAATATGGTTGTTTTAAGTAATGTTATTTAATGTTAATAAATGGAACAATAGAAGTAGCTAACGATAATGGTAAAGAAAAAAAGAGAGATCGTATGTAAGGTGAAAACATATCGTCATTACTTACATAAGAATATGAAAGCAACACTTATTTACTGTTCATATATATTTTAATTAATGTTTCTGAATTTGTTTTATTGAATTAATGTGTGCAAAATTAACAATACAATTTATTAATACGTGGAATATTAGAGGAGACGAGAGCCGTCGCATTGTTTATGTTAAAGCTTACAAAACCAGTGACTGATTGGTTCTACATATAAAACTGAAGAAAATAAGACCCTGATTTAGCTGTAGTAAAATTAATGTAAAAAAAATATGGTTGTTTGTACCTGTAATGTTATTTAATGTTAATAAATGGAACAATATAAGTAGCTAACCATTAATGGTAAAAAAAAGTGAGACTGCTCGATGTAAGTGCACATGTGAAAATATATCGTCATTACTCTACATAAGAATATGAAAGCAACACTTATTTACTGCTCATATATATTGAAGGGTTAAATGTTGTACTCTGTATAGACAAGCAGAGAGAGAGAGAGCAGCCGAACTGCGGATGTAAACAAACCTTAATTTCCCAGCTTTTTTTTTTTTTAAGGATTAGCCCACCCGGCATAGGTCACTGACCCACATTGGGGCCTGAGGGGCAAAATTTAATACTCCTGTAATAATAATAATAATAATTCAGATAAAAAAAAAAAAAAAAAAAAAAGCTGCCTATCTACCTATTGGACAAACTAAAATCGTTCGGAGTTTCCGGACCACAGAATGCCGAACTAGAGAGATACTGTACTGTATTAACTACACCACGTAAGATGCCGGAAAACCAGCTTTTTTAAAGTGAGACAGATTGTAAGAGCATGGAAACACAGAAGAAGGCAGAGCATTCCACAGTTTGGCTGTGTGGAGGAAAGAAGGAGGTACTGGTATTTATAACGGGTTATTCTCGTGTGACCGACATCCACAGAGAAACGATACCGGGGCAAGCATGGTGGAACCACGCTTGCTGTAGCTTGAAAAGTCTTAGCTTCAGCTTAATGACTTTAAATGGCTGGCTATGGCTTCAGCTTTGTGTCTTTCCAGTGTCTTAAGCCCCATGTCTGCCAGCCACTAGAGTTGGGGGTTTCAGCCTTCAACCTGTAGACTTACGAACACAGAGTTGGGCTCTTCAATCCAGGAACTGTCATAAGATGGGATTTTAGGATAATTCTGTAATTTTTCTCTCTCTAAGATACAAGAAGTATATGGTGTTGGATCCCCTTGGTGTGGTGTCTGGCACACGTGGTGAAGGCTCCAGGAGTAGATCAGACACTACCAACTCAGGACCAATCTTTTAAGATGCCCCAACAACACTTCTTGTAATGTTGTCATCCTTTTTTTTTTAATAGTTTTGTTTGCTTATAGTAGATGACAGTAAATGATCTGTCTTTGCTGATAATAAAACATTTGTCTAAAAAAGTTGTTTGAAATTTATAAATTTGAATCTGTTGCCCATGTTTACTAGAAGACTAAACAAAAGGTATTCAGTGTACTCCAATTGTAATTTTGAGTTTTTTTTATATGCATCTCTTCTTGATTTGATTTTATATTTTAATTCTTTACTGATTTTTGAATTAATGGGGCATATTTAATTTACAAAATCAATTCTAGTTTCTGCAGATTTAATTTGTTTTACTGGTTTCTTTAACATTAATAAATAATTTCTTCATCCTTAGGAAGGAGATCAGATGGGACTCATGGCAAAAGATGAATACCAATATCTTCCAGACCTGTCAGACCTCCCCGATTTGGACCTTCCTATGGAGTTGCCGTCACTTGGCCCCGGTCAGTCTTGAGAGTTACAGCTACTGTAATTATGTATCACAGGATCAAATCAAACTTCATGATGAAGAAACCACTGAGATGGATCATTGCACTAGTAATTTAATTCCACATTCAAAGTTTCCATTTATGTATGTACTGTACTGTACAGTAAAACCTCGATTAACCGACTTTCGGATTAACCGATCCCGAACCTCCCCTTTTCGATTAGCCCACCCGGCACAGGTCACTGACCCACATCAGCCTAAAGGCGATAATGTAATAATAATGATAATGATAATAATAATAATAATAATAATAATAATAATAATAATAATAATAAACCATAAAGAAATGCAAAAATGAAAAAAAAATCAGTAGCAAGAGAAATAATTGAGACCCTGCAATTGTGTGTAAATGAGGCAGAAAGTCAGATCATCAACCTGGGACTTGGTCACAATTTTCGTGATGCAATATGTTCTTTGACTTTTCCATTTTTTATTCACGGTTTCTGTGCTGGTTCATATTTATTTACTAAAGTGGTTAATGTTTTAAAGTGAATACTATTGAAATATGAATGGCAAATGAACAAAAATAAATAGAGGGACTTAAATGAGATAGGTACTTTGAAAATGTATGTTTTATCTCCGTAGATTTTATTTACTATTAACCGACCTTTTGGATTATCCGTCGGCCCCTTCCCCCCATATGTGGGCGGTTAATCGAGGTTTTACTGTATCACCATACAATGGGGGAGTTCTGAAGTGTGGCAAACAAGTAATTGTGTTGGATATCTAAAAATTAAGCATGGTGATGATAAAAATGAAATATACAGTCAACCCTCACTTTACGCGGTTAATGTAACCCACAGGGTACCGCGGAAAGTGAGAAACGCGTAAAGTGAATAACATAACATATGGGATTAAATGAAATTGAGACCAGCTGACCCCCAAACTCCACTTTTTCCAACACAATACCTATGTTCTAGTAAAAATAACATCTTAATTTTATGATGGTACATGCACACAATTAATACTTAAGAGAAATAGAGAAATACAGTCGCCAAGTTAATGTCCATTCAAATAATGGACACGACTCCCTCCCCCTCTTCTCACACTACACTGCTGGCTCTTCCCTCTGAGAAATTTTGGGGGGAAAACCAGGTATAGTAATAAATAATACCTCAAACTAAAGTTAGGATAATATAATTGACATTGCTGGATTCCTTGTAAGACCAGGAATATTTTGAATGTAAATGTCATATATTTTTCACAAAAGATAACATATTTACTCAGAGCAATCATTACATCTAAAATTTGTATGTCTAATGCAAAATCTATGATGTTTATATTCAAAATGATCATCAAATTGTAAGAATTCCAGCAATGTAAATTATATTCTGGCTGGGTAATTTGTATGAATTTTATGAGCTAAAACAAATGTCTTCAGTTAATAAAAAAAAAAAATATTCTTCACGACACTATCTGTCAATCTAAGTACCCCACCTTGCCTCCCCCCCTCTTCCAACCAGCCAGATGGTCAGTCCGTCCCAACCCTCCCCCCCACCTCCCACCAACCCTCCCTTCAAGAGAAAGAGTGGGTGAAAAAACTAGATTTTAACATTTAGTATTAAATAATACCTCAGATTAAAGTTAGGATAATATAATTGACATTGCTGGATTCCTTGTAAGACCAGGAATATTTTGAATATAAATGTCATATATTTTGCACAAAAGATAACATATTTACTCAGAGTGAACATTATATCTAAAAATTTTATGTCTAATGCAAAATATATGATGTTTATATTCAAAATGATCATCAAATTGTAAGAATTCCAGCAATGTAAATTATATTCTGGCCGGGTAATTTGTATGAATTTTATGAGCTAAAATAAAAATCTTCAGTTAATAAAAAAAAAATATTCTTCACAGGGTAACAGATGGTCGGTCGCCGGTCCCTCCCACCCCCCCACCCCCCACCAACAGTCCCTACTACATAAATGTGTGGGAATACCAGACTGTTTACCTTTTTAGTAATAAATAATAAATCAGACTAAAGTTAGGATAATATAATTGACATTGCTGGATTCCTTGTAAGACCAGGAATATTTTGAATATAAATATCATATATTTTGCACAAAAGATGACACTATATCTAAAATTTGTATGTCTAATGCAAAATCTATGATGTTTATACTCAAAATGATCATCAAATTGTAAGAATTCCAGCAATGTAAATTATATTCTGGCTGGATAATTTGTATGAATTTTATGAGCTAAATAAAAAAATTATACTTCACCTGTGTAAAGGGGTACACCCACCGCGGAATGTGAGCATCCTGGGTTCTTGCAGGGCACCGCGTAAACGTAGAAACGCGGAATGTGGGACCGCGTAAAGTGAGGGTTGACTGTAATAGGCTCACTCCCATGAACCCTCTGTGGTAATACAATACAGTAAATATATTAAAAAAAAAAAATTGCATAAACACCAAAAAGCAACCTTTTAAAAAACCATAGGCAGCGAGTAATTAGCGTTAGACAAGTAATTAAATTTTTTGAGATGTCATTTGTACAAGTAATTATACAGATATCAAATTGCAGACAACAGATCCGTAATCATCGTCTTCAGAAGTACTATCAGATGTAAGAAAAAGAGGAATTTCTTTGATTCTTCCTAATACTGTACTGTTTCTCAGATGACCTAAGTCAACCATTTTGCACATCCAGGATAAACTTCAGCAATGAAATGGAATTTTTTATTTACAGGTGTTGCAAATGATCTTCTCTATGATGCTGATATAGGACCGGCCATAGCTCCATCCTTTGGGATGCCTGACCTACCAACTTTCAGCTTAGATAACACAGATATAACCTCTGTGGCTCATGCTTCTCCTGAACCTCCACCACCACCACCTCCCCTGACAAGCACAAGTGCTCCCCCTCCTCCACCGCCAATAGCCTCCAACAGTACTTCAAATTTATCCCATCCACCACCATCACCTCCATCAGTTAACAGCAGTGCTGTAGCTCCAACTCCATCTACAGCAGGACCACCACCACCTCCACCACCACCACCTCCACCACCACCTCCACCCCCACCCCCTGCATCTGGGGAGTCTAGAAATCAATCAGCACCAGAGGTATGTGCATTTAAAAGTAAATCTTTGGATCTTTCTACATAACACAGTATATGTACTGTAATTCTGCACTAATTGCGTGGGTTACATTCTAGAGTTCTCCTGCGGGTGGCAACACTATGGTTGGCAAGGACTGGGTCTAAGGGGAAATAAGGAGTTAGGAGAAGTGACTCTGAGACATACCTAAGTCTTATAATGTACAGCTTAAGGTTCAAAATAGTACAGGATTTTGGTATACTTAAAAAACTTAAGTTATAGTGCATAAGAATGCTATACTGTACAGCAAAATAGTTTATAGAACTACCCCATATGCCTTTCGCCTGGCCTCGACACTATCCCTTGCAATGCTGCTTCCTCTAGCAACACAAATTTATTAAATTAATTTTCATGTGTTACTGTGTTTGTGTTAACATCTTTGTTTTATGTATAAAAAATCATAATAACATCTGCAGAGCCAATAAAGTTACCCAAGGAAGCGGTCCTGTAGCATTGACACTGCTTGCAACACATCTCTATAGCCTGCACAATGTTATAATGACCTCTTTTAACAGATTAATCAGTTAATGGACAATCCACAGGAAAGATATCTTGTCTGTTATAAGGGGTCAGTAAATGTTCCAATGTTAATAAAGCCTAGACTTAAAAGAGCTCACACTTGGTGCCCTCACATCCTTCACTAATAGGTTCACAACTCTTACGCAAGAGAATCTAGCTTGGATGGTGTAATGTTAAGTACTGTACCTGTAATATGAAATCCATTATTTTTTGCATGTGAAATTATAACATCAGTGGGTAGTACAGTACAATAATTTCTCACAAACCATGGCTTTGAGAATGTACTGAGTGCTTTACATTTTGTGCACCATTTACCAACCACGACATCCTGTTTTGAATATCCAGGGCTTTGACAGCCACCACAGTTTCCTAGCCCAGTGCTGCAGGAATGTTCGGTGGATCAGATCTGTTAAGTGGTTTGTCTTGTTCACTCCATCGTGCATATGTTCCTCCATATTGCATATGTTCCTCAAACAACAATTTGTTATCATCTATCATGCCCAGGCCCTCTTCCTTCTCTCTTTTTTTTTTAATTAATTTGTTTACTTCCTTCATATTACACACTGTTTTGATTTTTGCAGCATCAGGGGTTTGTGGAGGCAGCCACACTCCTGCAGTCTAGGTGTAGTCATCCCACTCACTGTGTTACTATTGCTCAAAAGCTCTGTAAGACCTCCCAGAGGCTCTCTTTAGTAGGTGCAGTACTTGGCACCAGTTATGTCTCACAGGCCACTTGCTTAAGATTTGCAAACTCCTTCGTGGTACAATCTCACCCAAAAGCTCGTTAACTCTCCCAGCCAGCTATTGCTGTACTGCCTGCTTCAGATGTTTGAAACTTTCTCAGTACCAACCAGAACATGAAACCGACACGGATGAATCTAAAGGTTTGAAGTAACAGATTCAAGTTCATACATCTGAAGCTGGCAGTGCAGCAATAGCTGGCTGGGAGAGTTAAGGTACGCTTGGATGAGACTGTACCGCCCACAAGGTGAACTGAGGGGCTGTTTCTTCTGCCAACCCAAGTGAAAAAGTTTACAACTATTTGCAATACAGTATTGTGGAATTATTTTCAGTCATAAAATGTGGTATTTTATTTGTATTTACTGAAAAATGAATGTTTGTAATATTTCTAAACGAAAGAGAAAGAACACCTACTGTACATAACCACTTACAAAGCCATTTTGTAGAGTCTAATGAAAACTAAATTACAGTAGTGGCATTTTATTCTTCTTCTGACAGTCATCAACATACACTTGCTCAGACAAACACACTACCACAAAATACCAAATTGATGACAAAATTTATTTTTGGGATCAGCCTGTCAACTTAGGTAAGGGGTTTATGAAATATTCATCCTCAGTTTGTGAAAGTGTTACCGGGTAATCCCTTCACCATGAGGACGCCACTTTTGATATTTTATTTGGCTAACATCAGACAATTTTATTCACTAGAGAGGGATCCCATACACAAATGATTAATAAGCATGAAATATCTACCAGTTATATCTTTTTATATACAGTATACAGTAATGTGTACGTAAATAAACTTCACTTCATTTCCAAATTAATGGAATGGGACAAATGCAGCAAGCTAGGTAGAAGCTTTTTCGTTTTATAATGTGAGAAATTTGTTGGATCTATTTTAACAGGTTGAGCCCTCAACATATTCTTCTGATTTATTGCAATAAGACTTATTTTCATGTCAGGTTGTACCTACTGTTGTGGCACCAGATGCTCGGAGTGACTTGATGAAAGCTATTCAGGCAGCAGGAGGTGCTGGAAAAGCCAAACTAAGGAACAGTAAGGATCGTAGAAAAGAAACCAAAAAGAAAGAGGTACTGTATGTTAAAATTTCTTTCCCAAGGATTTACTTCATTATCAAATTTTTTTTTTTTTAGTTCTAATGCTTTTAAATGTAATATTGAACTTGTAGCTGAAATAATCTTGAAGTTATGAGTTAGTAAATATTCATGTAATACTGTATGTTGCAGACAACAGCAGTAGCAGCTCCAGCAGGTGACCTCATGGGCGATTTGTTTAACCGACTCTTACAGAGACGAAAAGTAAGTGAGACTTTTGTTAGCTGGTCATAATTTTATTATTACCGTATATCTCGGCCTATAAGACGGAATTTGAACCATAAAAAATCGGCCCAAAGTTAGGGGGTCATCTTAAGCACCAGATATAACATTCTTACCTCTTAAATATTGCGGTTTAGCGGTATAGCGTGTCAAGAGTGGTGATGGAAACATCGTAAACCACTCACAAGGTCCTACCACTAATTATTTTATACTGAAACTTACTTTTGGGAAGCTGGATTAAAATTAAGATTACTGGTATATTAAAATAATAAAAATGTATTATAAACCTGTCTAACATACCGTAAAAGAACAATATACCCCGGTAATAAACACAGCTGCTATTTGCCAGTGACAAGAAAGGGAAAGTGACCTTGACTGTGACCGCCTGTGGCTATTTTTAGCCGTCTTGTGTTCGAGGTGGTCAGTACAGGTAGTTCTGCTATAACGCGATAATTGTGTTCTTGTAAAATATCGTGTTATAGAAAATCGCGTAATAGGAATAACGGCTTATGGAGAAAATAGGGTTAGGTGCAGATTACTCGAAATCGAAAAAATTTAGTAGTTAGCCTAACACAAAGGATAGCACAGTCTAAATAAATGTTACATTCATATCTAATAATGAAATCATACAGTAAATGTAACACTTTACCTTGAAAAAATATGAATGTAACTTGATGGGGGAGAAGGGTGATTTTGAGGTTGATAACATCGAGCTTCTCTTCAAGTGTTATATCCTTTCTTTTACGATCATCACCGGGAATTCTATCACCAGAACGCTTCTTGGAGATATTCTTCTTTACCATATTCACAATTAATACCACAAAATTGGAGAAATAGCAAGCAAAAATCGCGTTATAGCAAACAAGCGTTCGCGTTATACAAATATCGTTCCTAATTCATAAATCGCGTTAGAGCAAATTCGCGTCACCAAAACACGCGTTATAGCAGAACTCACTGTAATGCATATCTGTATATTTACTGATCATAATACTTATCTCCTATAAATACTTCATTTAAAATTTATTTTTTTACAAAGAATATTCAGTAAATGACTGCGTTAATTCTTGAAACTACCGACACTGGTAAATTTTGGATGAGAATGATGAACACAAGTCACATCATGGATTCGGAGTTTGGTCCTTAATGATCACCATAACTGTGTGGTCAACTTCACCTACCAGGTATAATGGTAGCCTCCCTTTTTTGCAAAACAAGTATATAAATTAAAGAAAATACTTGCAGTGTGTTTAATATATTACAGTATATTATAAATAAATAAATAAACAAATAAATCGGTAAATCTATTTGAAGTACTAAATGGAAAAATTTTACTCACACCGACATTAGTTCCAGTTAAATAACAGACGCTTAAGTGAGTTACTAGTGTTTACACTACTGTACATATATATATATATGTATATATATATATATATATATATATATATATATATATATATATATATATATATATATATATATATATATATATATATATATATATATATATATATATATATATATATATATATATATATATATATACAGTTGTACCCCACTTAACGCGGTCAATTGAACCCAGAGGGTCCCGCGTTAAGTGAAAACCGCGTTAAGTGAATAACAGAACATATGGGATTAATTCCAATAGAACCCAGCCCGACCCCCAAACTCCACTTTTTGACGACAAATAACTATGTTGTAGTAAAAATAACATCTTAATTTTATGATGGTACATGCACACAATTAATACTTAAGAGAAATACAGTCGCCAAGTTAATGTCCATTCAAATAATGGACTCAACTCCCTCCCCCTCTCACACTACAGTACACAGCCAGCTAACAGATGGTCGGTCGGTCCCTCCCTCCCCCCCCCACCCCCCACCAACCGTCCCAAGGAGATGTGTGGGATAACCTCAAACTAAAGTTAGGAAAATATAATTGACATTGCTGGATTCCTTGTAAGACCAGGAATATTTTGAATATAAATGTCATATATTTTTCACAAAAGATAACATACTTACTCAGATTAAACATTTTATCTAAAAATTGTATGTTTAATGCAAAAAATATGTTGTTTATATTCAAAATGATCACCAAATTATAAGAATTCCAGCAATGTAAATTATATTCTGGCCGGATAATTTGTATGAATTTTATGAGCTAAAACAAATATCTACAGTTAATAAAAAAAAAAATATATTCTTCAACACTATCTGTCAATCAAAGTACCCCACCTTGCCTCCCCCCCTCTTCCAACCGCGCGGTCAGTCCCAACCCTCCCCCCACCCCCCACCAATCCTCCATTCAGTATTAAATAATACCTCAGATTAAAGTTAGGATAATATAATTGACATTGCTGGATTCCTTGTAAGACCAGGAATATTTTGAATATAAATGTCATATATTTTGGACAAAAGATAACATACTTACTCAGATTAAACATTTTATCTAAAAATTGTATGTTTAATGCAAAAAATATGTTGTTTATATTCAAAATGATCACCAAATTATAAGAATTCCAGCAATGTAAATTATATTCTGACCGGGTAATTTGTATGAATTTTATGAGCTAAAACAAATATCTTCAGTTAAAAAAAAATAATTCTTCACCGGGTAACAGATGGTCGGTCGGTTGGTCCCTCCCTCCCCCCCACCCCCCACCAACCGTCCCAAGGAGATGTGTGGGATAACCACTAAATTTTAATAAATAATACCTCAAACTAAAGTTAGGATAATATAATTGACATTGCTGGATTCCTTGTAAGACCAGGAATATTTTGAATATAAATGTCATATATTTTGGACAAAAGATAACATACTTACTCAGATTAAACATTTTATCTAAAAATTGTATGTTTAATGCAAAAAATATGTTGTTTATATTCAAAATGATCACCAAATTATAAGAATTCCAGCAATGTAAACTATATTCTGGCTGGGTAATTTGTATGAATTTTATGAGCTAAAACAGGCAGTCAGGCAGGGTGGCGGGTGGGGGGTGGTGCGAATCTAAAAATAGCTCTGGAGCCGGACACTCACCGCGTATATGATGAAAAATGGCATATATGATGAAAAATGCCGCGTTAAGTGAAAGTTCAGCTTTGGCAAGGCACCGCGTATATGCGAAAACGCGTTAAGTGAAAGCGCGTTAAGCGGGGTAATATATATATATATATATATATATATATATATATATATATATATATATATATATATATATATATATATATATATATATATATATATCCATCCCTCGGTTCTAGGGCTTAAATTCATTCCCATTTGAGTAAATATCAAGAAGGCTGTATTATTCAATAATTTTCCAAGTTTTATATTAAATTTTTTAGTCATTTTAACAATTATTTAACATAATTGAAGTACAGGAAACTAGTTTTTAGTGTGCCAAACAGCCACTTGAATCACCCAGCATGGCGTCAGTTTGTGTCTGCTCAGTGGAGGTAACATTTTGCTTGAGACTCTCTTGAACATAAACTATTTTTATGTTTTTACAGTACAATTGTTGGTCATTCTGAAATTTATTTTACATATTGACAATATATAGTGCAGTTCAGTGTAGATTTAAAGAAAATAATCTTGAATTACACCTAGTGAACTTAAAATTTTATGGGTGAAATGACGGCATGAAGCATGGGGTGATTTCTCTTCCACCCACATTTCCTTCTCTTCTCCCTTCTGCTCCACCCCCACTTCTAATTCCCATCATCATCATCATCAACCAGGAGCCTTCTACATTCACACCTTAAAGTAAGTGTACTTTACTGCATTTATTTTTACTTTGTATGTAATTTTCGGTGAGCTGGAACCAATTACCCAAAATCCCATTGACACAATGGTTTCGGGTAACGAAATTTTCAGTTAACGAACGACCTTCTGGAACGAATTGTGTTCGTTAACCGAGGGACCACTGTATATATTCTCGATTTAACGAACAAATTTAAGCCACCCTTGTTCGTTAAATCAAAATTTCCGCTAAATTGAGCATGAGTTGTTCACTGCTACCTCTCGGTCAACTAACTACACTGGAGCATCTTAGCTTTTGTCTTTATTCAAGACATCTTCAGAGGCAACTGAATTTATAGGGACTGAGAGAGGCTAATACTGTATACAATGAGTGACCTTACATAACATCAGGTCAAGTCAATAACATGGGATCCATTAATCCATACACCACCTTCACCACAAACAAAAGAAGAACTTATAAAAAAATGGGTGACATAACAACAGATCAGGTCAAGTCAGGTCAAAAGTATGTGACCCACTAATCATCTATCCTACATACACCTCAGATGCTTTCAAAGCATTTTTAACCTTAGGCCAGAGTTATTATTCATTAATTAGCACCACAACATCCAGTACATATTGTAGTTTATTTATACCTGATGTAGTAGTCATGAACCACTCTGGATTACATAAGAAATTTATTATGTAACATTATCTATACAGTAAAATTTTTTTATATGCTGTACAACTGTACACTATTTGAAAGTGAGAAAATTTACGAGGGAAAGATAAGTTTTCTAAGGTAGACACTCATTCAAGCTAACTAAGTGTAAATCCATAATCATTCCTAGAATTTTGTCTGAATTTTTCCTTTTTTTTCATTTAATTAATGTAGTGTAGGAACCAGTTGTGGGTCTATTGGTTTCAAAAATATTACATCCTTCTTTTGTTGTGAAATAAAACTGAAAAATAATTCATGACATTTTAAGATACGCCACTTTAACAGAGTCGCTGTAATTATGGGCAAAAGAAAACATATCTGTATATACAGTACAGTACAGTATATCTTTACAGGGCATATCTGGTGTTCAGAAAGATGGAAACTGTGTCACAGATTCAAAAGCAGCAAAAAGCAGTGGAGATACAACAACCATGGAGAAAATGTCAGCTATTATACCACCACCTCCTCTAACCCCTGAAGCTATGGACAATGAAGCAGATGGCAGTGATGGTGACTGGGAATGAATGTTATTGTTCATGACACATATCAGCAGCTCATATTTCCTAGATTAAATTTAGAAATATATATTTGAGTATTTCTTAATGATATATCAAAAGTCAAAGCGACATGACAAAATAATTGTGTGCCTTCAGAACTTTAATCAAGGTATGAAGTACAGACACTCCCTGGGTTATGGATGGGTTCTGTTCCTGGAGGCTATCCATAAGCCAGAAGTGACCCTTCCATAGGTAATCATTGAACACACTTTGTACACATAATTTATATACATTTATTGTACTATACAGGTATGGGACCATTTATCTGGCATGCTTGGGACCTGGGGGTTGCCAGATAGGCTGTGAAAACTGTTCAGATCACTAGATTCACACCTAAAAGTAGGTTTAACTGTACACTGTAACATTAAAACTTAAGATTATGGTAATATAAACACCAATAATAAAAGTACAATATATAAATAGCATTAATGAAAGCCCCTGGTGCTTGCCTTATCAACGTAATAGCATCTCTAGCAATGGTGCTGAGCCATGGATCTTCCCACCTCCACACACAGACTGTATGTAGGATTGTGTGTGTATGGAACTCATAAAAACGTTACATAAAGTTAAAAAATAACCATAACATAACAGTGCTCAAAGGTGGGGCATGGTTGGAAATTTCCCCACTCGGTCTGGGAATTACCTTATTTGGCACTCATTTTAAATAGGACTTATGGAAGAATATCCGTAAAGTCGGAAATTTGGGGTCCGCGTCATCCATAACCTGGGGAATGTCTGTACACTTTTTGTAAACCAAGTTAGTCCGTGTTTTACAGTGGAGTCTCAATAATTTGTGGTTACGTACCAGAAGACATTGTGAAATATCAGATCGCAAATTAGTTGAATTCAAAAGAAAATAATTAGTTTGGTTCCAGAGGCCAAGAAATACCCATAAACTGTTACAAAACAGCTTTAATAAACACTAAACATCGCACATAATACATAAAAAATACAGTAACACATAGATATTGTACAAAAAGTAGTTATATTATATAAACAGCTCCTCCTTCCTTTCTCATAATTTCCTGTGGGTTATGCCAATTCACTAACATGGAGACAGGCAGGCTGTGACCACACTATGTCAAAAATACCAGCAATTTATTACCATAAGCTCATCTGAGGTTGAGTGTGGGAATATTTTTATTTATTTTTTAATTTAATACTTTACGATAATGTTTCATAAACCCGGTGGTACCAAATGAACCTAAATAATATGGGAATTGTGTAGTGTTATATAAATGAGGTCAGAGGTGGTAGGGGTGCCGAGGGCTCTAGAACCGGGGGGGGGGGGGTGCCTTGCCTCCCACAAACATTTCATTTCCCACTTCTCATTTTTCTTATTTTCTTTTCTTTATTTTAAGTTAAATTAGAGCAATTAAATTATATTTTTAACACATTTATGGTTTCTTATGTAAATAAACACTGCGGCAGTCAGCGCTCGGCCGCATATTGTGAATATTTGACCGCAAAATGTAAAAAAACAGAGGTAGTAATAGTTACCCACGAATTTAAGAATGCAAATTTGTATTTCGTGAATTATCGTGACTTCGCTGAAGAAACAGGCTGGCTTTTGTAAAACTCCCTCCACTTACCTTGACTCCAAACAAATTTATGGAAATTCATAACCATTTCACTACATTTGCATTTTTTTTTTTTTGCTCCTGTCTTTCTCATCCCACTTGATTTACTGTATATGCTACACACATCAAAACATTGCTAATACTTGACTCATTCCTTATACAGTATTCTTCTCCCATTAAGTCACATTTGAATACTCTACCTGTGTTTAAACATACTGTGTTACAAAAGCAATCAAGAGTAAAGCATGGTAAATGACACAACACAAAGTTAGGAAATACAGGGTGCACCAAAAGAAAGTTAATGTTCTCTTTTTTTTCTTTTTCGGGCGAGGGAATCGTAACAAATCAACAAAGATTGGGCAATGAGGAACAATCAAATAGCCACTGAGCTCTTGGTAGGCTATAAATTTAAGGTGACTCCCAGAGGAAGAAATAAAAAAGTGTGAGGTCCTCCGGAGATCTTGGTGGCCATTCAAAATGGTCCACTTTACTGTACCCCTTATTTTTTTCCACCTGGAAAAGAAAAGAGAGAGAACAATAATTTTTCTATGGTGCACAGTCTATGAGACATCCTGTCTAATAAGTGTTTAAACATAGACAAAAAAAAATTTGCCTTTATAAGAGAAGAATATGATTGAATGAATGAAATGCTTGCAAAGTTAATTTTACACTATGGTGCACAAGATTTTAAGACATTCGTGTGTTTGACGTCTTTGGTTTAGTTCCCCAACATATTCCTTTAATTAAATGTTATACAGGTATGTGATGTTATAATTTAAGGCTCTATTTAGTTTGTATTGGTAATGTATATATCTTCGAAATATAAAGTACAGCAGGCTCTCGCCAATAACGTTTAATAGGTGCCTGAAAAACGCCGTTATTAGCGAAAACGTTATTTGTGTGACATTAAAATACATGTAAAAAGGGTTTATTGGTGCCACCGCCCCAAGAATTTCACCCAATTTTTCCCCTAAGAAGCCCTCCTAACACTTTTTGTTCGCTGAAATAAAAAGAATTGTTATTCAATCATCAAAATAAAGAGTTTGAGTAATATAACACTTAGCTTGGGGGAGTTTTTGAGGTGTGCTTGGTGTGATGATTGTTCCGTATCTGAGGGCCGCTAAGACTTGCACTGTCTTTCATTCTAAAAGCTAACCATTTCACAAGAAAATGCTCTGTTATCACAAACAACCTGTTTCTGTCACCTTTATCATTTATAGCTCGCCTCGCATTTCCATCACTACTGAAATATTTCTTAGCCAGCGCAATACTCTTCTTGGTCTCCTCTAAGTTCCTCTTAATTTTTCGCTCTGTAGACTCAGAACAGTTAAATTTCCTCACAATATCAATGTTCCGTGCACCACTTTCAATGAGCTCAACAATCTGTTCTTTATCCTTGACCGAGTAGGCACACTTCTTGTGGCTTTGTCTCTTAGCATTGAGGTCTTTTTTCTTAATCACTTTAAAAGTTCCCGGGTGTTCAGGTGGCAAATCACTCCCTCCACCTTCCCCAGCCCCCACAACCACTGGTTATAGAGGCGAAAATCTCCACGTGAGCGCAGCACTATATTCCACGGAGCCTGTGTGAGAGTGAGGCGGAGCGGACAACTACGTCATCAACATGGCGGCAAACAAATGCTATCATTGATGCGCACGGACGCTTCCCGCAAAATCTCCATTATTCAAGAGAATCCAGACGTTATTGTCGAAAATGAGTATCTATTGTAACTTACCGTTATTGTCGAAAATGTTATTGTGGAAGTCGTTATTGGTGAGAGCCTACTATACTGGGAACATTAATTTCTTAATAATGAACAACTCAACCCCCAAAAAACTGCTGTCAAAGAATTGTGAAATCAGGTCTTCGTGACAGCTACCGTACACTGTCTGCCCCCAAGTCCAATCCATCCCCTTGACAGATGCTTGTCCCAGGAGTTTTGTATCACCAGTGCAAAATGAACTGAAGTATCATTTAATTGCAAGACAATAAACTTCATATCTCAGGCTAATAGTTTGGGATTTGGTGATTTCTAATGACACTTCCAAATACAGTATACTGTATATGACTAAGTTCACTTGGTCATCAATGAAATACTGTAGACTGACTTTCTCATTTAAGCACGTGGTAAAATTTTAGATTTTTCTCAAATTTCCAATAAAGGTACAGTAAAGCCTCGAATAACGACTGTAATGTGGTCTCCAATATTGCAGTGTAAGGAGAATCATCGTGTCGCGAATAATTAATTACCATTAAAATAAAGCAATAATAATGACGCATTCCCCAGTGTGACCTTTTCATAACTTTTGTGTGGGTTTTTACCCTCTTTTCCCCCCAAACAATACAATTAATGAAAAATGCAAACTATATTCTTTAAATATTGTTTATGAATGCACCTTATACAATATAAATCAATAATAATATCACACAAGAGGAGATGGGACGCTATTGTTGTTGTCGTGTTTACACCCTTAATGTTAGTTATCCATCTGAAACTGAAGAAAATAAGACCCTGGTTGTGCTGCTGTAAAATTAATGTAAAAAAATATTTTTGTTTTAATTAATGTTATTTAATGTACAGTAAAAGTAGCCACTGATGTTAAAGAAAAAAAAGAGACTGATAGTGGAACGAAAATGTATACTTGCGCCCTCAAGGAAACTGCGTCATTTATCTTAAGAATATGTACAAAAGATTCATTATTGTTTATTACTGAATATGTATTTGATTAAATTAATGTTTATATATGCAAAATGAACAATGCAATTCATTAATAATACGTAGATTATTAAAACACACGTGAGTGTTTACACCCGTGGGTCCGTTACGATGGTTCTACACAAGAAACTGAAGAAAATAAGACCCTTGTTGTAGCTGCAGTAAAATTAATGTTAAAAAAAATTAATATGTATGTTTTAAGTAATGTTATTTAATGTTAATGAATGGAACAATATTAGTAGCTAACCATTAATGGTAAAGAAATAACAAAATAGATTGGGAACGCCAACGCATATAAATGTGTACATGTGAAAAACATCGTCAATTCTCTACATAAGAATATGAAAGCAACACTTATTACTGTTCATATAGGTTTAAAATAATACTTACTAATGTAAAACTAAAATTCTTCTCACAAATGGTGGTTAAGTCTAATACATAAGGGCAGCCAATGATGTTGTATGAGTTTTTACTCAGATGACGAAGTCATCAGGTTCAACTCTGGCTGAAGCTTTCCAAAAAGATATCATAGCTGTTGCTGAAACTGTTCCTCAACTGGAAGTTGTTGCTGAAGCTGCTTATGATGCTGAATTTGATGGTTTAGGCCTTCGAATAATAAAGCTGTCGAAAGAACCTTGCACAGCTGCTTTCTTTTCTCATTATACATCTTTATGTAGAGGTCATATGCGTTTTACATGTCCCCGTTAATTTTAATGCTTCATTCTGTTAATAGATCCACTTCAGAAAATATGATCATTGCTTGCTCCATATAATATCCACAGACCTCTCACCTTTTTCATATCATTTTAACACATCTAGTTTCTCGGCTAAGCTTATACACTTTCTTTTAGCCTTTGAACCAGCACTACTGTCACTTGCTCTCTTGATCGTGTTGAATGGGGACGCAAAAAATGCCGTAAGAAACCTGAGAATGTTTTCTCCCTTTCCTGTTCAGATGCCTGAAAACAAAGTGCTCGCCAGCTGCTACTGTTTATGCTGGCGTCACCCTCACAAACCCGGCAGCCCCCGTGCGCAAGGATTTTTTTTTTCTAATACATATCGGGATTTAGTTATTATTTATATGTAAATGTAATTTTAATTTATTTTTTATAATATTTTTGTCGTAAATACGAAGAAAATAATGGTGTAAATTTGAATTGGGTCCTAAATTAACCAGGGTCTTAAATATGAATCGTCGTTAGTAGAGCCGTCGTTATCGGAGGTTTTCCTGTACTGTACTCCTTGAGATGCTTGTTAAGGATATCGATTGAAAAATTAAAAATTCATATGATTGTTGTTAATTAATTAATGAATGACCCATGAAATAATCACAGTACATTATGCTATGTTTATAAGTTTTATATAACATTTTTATATGTTTTACCGTGAATATAGACTGACTTTACCATTTAATTCTTACATGGCGGGATCGGCTATATAGTATATGATGTGGTTCTTTTCTACCCCAATTCGGAGGTCATCAATAGACAGTAATCGGTATATAATCAATATTTTTCCGCACCATAATTTTGAATTTTAGCGTCAGAGTTTTGCTCGAGTGATTCATTGTAACTCATAGCAACATTAACTTCCTCATGTTGGTCCCTCCACACGTATCTTTCTCTACCTGGAGTTTTTTTCATCGTGAAGGAAGTAACTGACAATTCCAGTGACACATCGTGCGGAAAGACCCTTCGCTGCAGTAGTGAAGCCTTGACACCATAGAAAATCAAGTAAAATGTTATGGGAATTAGTGAGGGTGAAACTGAAGAATTGGTAGATTCGCTGAGTAAATTCAGAAATGATAACTTGTGTGAACTTCAGGAATAGTGACATTGATGATCTCGTCATCAGCATATGAGGAGTGCATAGAGAACAGAAGGAAAGGGAGGTAGAAGTGCTTCTCTATGTGTTGCACAAGTACTGTGTAGGTGTGTATCACCAGCCTGTGCATGAGACTGAAGTACTGTACTATAGTGGCAATGATTTAAACTGCAAAATCAATGTGGAAAAATTTTGTATTGAAAAAGTTATATTTTTATGAGGAATCGTATACCCTAAGAGGCTGATCATATGAGAATATTTGGCCAGGGACAGTGTTGTTACAGCTCAAATTCACATTCCTCATGAGCCCAAGCCCAAACAAGTTTCGAGTCTCCTTAATTATATGCAGTATACAAAAAAAAAAAAAATAAATATATGATTATTTTCATTGTGATGCTGTACCTTGGTTTATTTTATTTCTCATTATAATAAATGATTTCCGTGTTAAAATTTTTCATTAGCCTGAAATATTGCAGCAGTGACTGAGGGTATAAGGAGGCCAGGGGAATGATAACTTCCAATACAGCTTATTCTTTTATTCTATGATCGTTAGCCGCTAGGGCGATTGGTCACTTCTCTGTTACGCACTGTTG